AACACCAATAAAAGATATAGTAGGAGTAGGAGTAGAGGCAGTAATACTAAAATGGATAGGGGTCAGAATAATAAAGAAGGTAGTACTAGTAGTAGTATACCACTATCATTTTTGGATTATATTCATTATTAGGTCGTATTCCTTCATCATCATTAACTACTATTCTACACGTATCCAATCTCACACGTAATATTAATGAAGACCATCTTTATGAGATATTCGGTAGTATTAATGAATAATAGTATAAGTGACATAATAATACGAATCAGGTACTTTTGCTGAAGTTATTGATGTTCATCTTGCTATAGATGATAAAGTTAATCTCCCTAAAGGATATGCTCATATTACATTACCAAATAAAGAGGCCGCTAAAGATGCTATATATCATCTTGATCATGCTCAGATAGATGGCAATATTATTAATGTAGTATTAGTAGTATTAGTAGTAGTATAGCCATACTACTACTACTACTACTACTACTACTACTACTTATACTACTTATACTATCGTCACTATTATTATCACCATCATCATTAGATTCGATTGGCACACAAGAGTAGTGGGGATGATAAAGAATTATCTCCAGACAATCATGCGGTGGATGGAGGTAGATTCGTATCTCCATCCATTTCGTTATCGCATTCATCATCATCATCATCATCATTAGATATAAAGGAACACAGAGTAGAGGAGGAGGAGAAGGGGGAGAGGGTTAGACGACACAAGAGAGCATCATCATCTCCATCATCTCCTCCTCGTCGTCGTCGACGTGATGATGATGATGATGATGATGATAGAAAGAATAGGAGGCGTACAAGATCATCATCATCATCATCATCAGTACAAGGGATGTATCGTCGTCATCATCATTCGAGTCGACGAGGTTCACGAGATGAGAGAGATGAAGATGATAATAATAGTCATCAACAACAACAACAACAAGAATCACAGGTAGTGTAATGATTACCAACATTGTCTACCACAAGGAGCAACAACCCAATGACATTCGTACCACTACCACCATTAGGTTGGACCCAAGCATCGCTATAAGCAGTATTCGAATAAGCAATGACCACTATCATCATCATCATGCACATCATCCCGATATACTAGATGTATGTTGTAGGAGAGGGGGTAGGATAATGACAAACAAAATGACTATCAATCTATTATCGGTCAATATTCTGCTTCTATATCAATAGTAGTGGTACCTATTCAATGGAGTTGTGTTACAAATACAGTATGTATGATGTTTCAATGATAGAGTATCATCATCATCATCAATAGCCGCGGTGGTGATAGTTGATGTTAAAGGATGGGTCTCCTATGACTTCGATGGCGTTCATCCCACTTTATTGGTATTAGATACTCGTGCTGTAGAATTAATAATTCACGTTAGCTACTACTTACTCTAAATAGAGGAATATAGATCCTTAGGAATAGGTAATGTAGACCCTAGGAGACCGACTCCTGATAGACTCCTGTAACTCCGAGAGCAGCCACTCACATTCTACTATGAACTATAAGTCGATTGTAATGGAGAACAAGGTAGCTTTCAAGA